CTGAAAATATCAAATCCTTCCAATTCAAATCAGCCTGATTTGAAAGTAAACCAAATATATAGCAATCTTAAGGAAAAGCTGTAAAAATTTTTAAATTCACCCAAATCAACGAATATACTAAAAGGAAATGCCGAAGATACAAAACAATTCCAAAATGGATCAGTTCAACATAGCGAATATGATGAAATGAAGTTCTTTAATTAACAAATGCAAACAAAAACTAACATTTCCAGTGTGCACAAGTCTACTGATCTCTGAGACTACAAAAGGCACCAACATCTCAAGCTTTATAATGTATCAGTCACAGTTTTGCCAAAGGATATACTGTATCAAAAAAAGCCGAAGCATAACAGCACAAATAAGTTACATTTTGGGGTGTATTTACTAAAGGCAAATAGACTGTGTACTTTGAAAGTACTTTGAAAGTGGTGTTGCACTAATTTTCCTTAGTAAATGTAATATGGTAAAGCTTCACTTTGTAAAGATCACCCAATCAGGTAAAAGGAAGAAAAAAATAAATATTTTTTTGCTTGCACATGATTGGATGAAGCAAATCAGCAGAGCTTTACGACATTTACTAAACTATGGGGAAAATGAGTGCAACTGCACTTGCAAAGTGCACAGTCTAAGAGCTGTAGATGTCTTCTCGAGCCCACATGCAGCAATTGCAGATGTTATAGAGCCTAAACAAAAACAAAAAAAAAAAAAAAAAAACCCAGATATATCATACTGGGCCAAGGGCACTGAGATGGGCACAACATTCTTTATTATGGGGAACTTTTACACATGCATTTTAGCGTGCTGGAATGCATGAGTAAAAACATGACACCGTAAATGGGCCCTCAAGGATCTTTGACAGAAAATCAGTTTGCAGAAATTCATTTTTTTACTGCATAGCCATCTTTCCATCTTAAGATAAGCAATCTTACACAATATTCATATTTTCTGTTTTTGGAAGTATCATTTCAATTTTATCTGGCATATCTCACATGTATTTTTTAATTATTCTTTCTTTGGCAGAGAAAATAGTTTATTTTATAAAACACATTCATTTGTGTCAAGGAATCAACCTCAGCACTGTTCACCACTGCCCCACGTCTCTTGGTAGCCTAAGTTATTTGAGTCCTCTGATATGCTTTTCAGAAGTAATGCACCAATTAATATAGACAGAAAGGAAATAAATGGTTTTACTTAGCTACAGCAGTTTTACAGAGGTCATCATAAATCAATATAATCAGAATGCCCCACAATTAAAGATCTGTTCTGCAACTCCCAAGTCCACAATCCAAACTGAAGGCCCAGACTGTTGAGAGGAATTGCCTCTCTCTCTAGTAGAGTTGATTTACTAAAGGAATAGAGACTGTTTACTTAGCAAAGTCAATGCAACATTGTATGTACACCTAAAAAAGTGAATGTTCATTTAGCATAGTAAATTTGGTTTAGTAACTGAAGTGAACACAGTGGGGTTGATTTACTAAAACTGGAGAGTGCAAAATCTGGTGCAGCTGTGAATAGTAGCCGATCAGCTTTTCCAATTAAGCTTTGATCCAAAAAAAATTTGTTCAGCAACTACAGATCCAAAATACAGTACAGTGTTTAGCTTCCAGTAAGTATACCAAAATTCCACATATTCTGTTGAGTTGGGTTTACCCCCTAGTTTATATTATTATACAGGATGTATATAGCACCAACAGTTTGCGCAGCGCTTTACAAGACAAAGGTAAACATTACAGTTACAATACAATTTGGTACAAGAGGAAACAGAGGGCCCTGCTCATTAGAGCTTACAATCTAGGAGATGCATGGTATCCTCAGTCAACGCTAACATGAATTATGTCATGTGGACTTTGGTTAATACAGGACAACCTCAGTCAAAAAGTCTTTAAAAAGTTTTACAACACTGGGGCCTATATGCTGAATATGCTAGGTTTCATAAAACACAAAACCTGACCTTTGGTTCATTTCCCAGTACTCTTGGAGAAGAGTTGAACAAAATATAGGAATGAGTTAGTGAGGGTTCTTAGATACTTTGACTACATTTCAAATCTTACTTTGTCATGAGATGCAACAGAATGCTACCTAAAGTTTCCCAAATCCTACTTTTAACATTTAACATTAGACCAGTTGTCTCCATTGGGATTTCCCAAAGTAAGGGTGAATATTGCAAGTGGGGATAGAAAAAGCAGACAAAACCAGAAGAGATCAAATGTTCCTTCACTACTTCATGCAAACCAAAAAAAAAATATTGCTTTGGTTGGAGTTTACATTTTAAGAATAACAGCAGTTTTGATTCAACCTTACTGGAACACTAGCAGAACAGTAAGCACAATCTTAGGTACATTGGTAAGTGGACTGATACATTATTATATTTTATAAATAATGTGATGTTTTCAGGTCAGTTTGTCAGAGCTAAAAACATACTGTAAAATTGTAATATTCACTCAGCATGACTAGAAAATGACTGCTTGTGAATAATTTAGGTAATCTTTTTTCCATAGATGGAGATTGTAAACAAAATAGAGGCACCATAGCAACCACTTTTAGATACGGTATGAACAGTTCAACTCGAAAAGGAACATATGAAATAATTTGTCTGTTATGCTATTAATGATGTGCTACATTTCTAATATGTATAAAAGCCTATTGGTAGAGGTTTTTTTAATGAGTTATAGAACAGAACATTCTCCTCTATTTGACACGTGGATGTTTGATGTTCACATCTCTGTACTTAGTGAAAGAATTCATTTTTGTTCAAAATGGCCAAATTTGTGACAATATACATTTTCTGCAATTCTCTGGACAATTAAGGATGACACATTATGTTTTATATTCTGACAAATGCATTTATTTGCTTATGTAATCTCAATTATGGTAGCAAAACAAAAATCTATTGATAAACCAAGATTACAGTAGGCTCCAGAGCACAGACACCAAAACGTGTCCACTCATCTATGTCCTAGCAGTTTAAATGCTGATCAGTAAAAGATCAGAAAGTGTGGTTTTAACAAATTGGTAATTCAATGGAAGTGCTAAAGATTATTTGAAAATTTCATAGCACATGGATTTGCATTCATCAAAATTTTAGGGAAATGACCCTGTAATCTTGCTGTGCAGAAAAAAAAAAAAAAAAACGATGATCACAGTTTGAAACTACCCATCAATGTCCTTTGTTCACCTTATCATTGAGATTCTAATTGATAGACTTTAAATCCATTACTAAAAAGGTCATAATTAGATAAATTGGACTTTCTGATAAATAAACTTGAAGTCAGTCAACAGCTCTAAAACTGAAAAATACATAGACAAGTACACATCAGGGGTGACTCATCTTTATTGGATGGCATGTTCCAAGGTTACAATCAAAGTGAGTCTATGGACAATCTAATGTAGTCCTGTCTCTTTAGATAATCCACAGTGCTCTTGTATTTCTTTTTCATGTATTACATGTACAGTACTTGTAAAATAAAGACTGTATACATATAGAAAAATCATATATCAAACAATTTAAAAATGTATGAATTAGCAAAATAGTACTCACCGAAAAACATAGTATAGTCTATCTTGTAAAGTAAAAGATTCACTTCAGATGCTATAAACTGTTACAGCTTTTGTAAAAATAAATGTAACTATACTGAAAAAAAAGGGGCAAACATTAATTTATTATTTTTTGCATTGAAGCCTGCAAAGCACAGTCTGCTACAGACTATTGCCCCAGCCCTGGGTCCATACAAGAATACAGACCTTCAGTTATGGGGCTGTAGGAAACAAAGAAATACAACTGCAGTAATGTCACCGGACTTTGTTGCTCCATTGATATCCATAAGTCCCTCCCCCATGGTAGATGGGACTTGAAGTCTTCCATTCACAGATCCATTTATTTACAGCCAGATTGACCACTTGCCTTCCGGAGGATTTACCCCCCCACCTTCTTCCTGACCAGGCCATTTTTTTGCGATACGGCACTGCTTTACTTTAACTGACAACTGCACGGTCATGCAAATCTGCACCCAAATGAATTTGATGTCCTTTTTCCCACAAATAGAGCTTTCTTTTGGTGGTATTTGATCGTCTCTGCGGTTTTTATTTTTTGCGCTATAAACAGGGCTTTCTTTCTGCCGGAACGCGGCGGTACTGCGTTCCGCCACCTTTTTTCTTCTTGTCCCCGCTCACCGACTGCCTCTGCAGAGCTGACAAGCTATGCAGAGCAGCGAAAGTGACAGGTGCCGGACGCGGCTTGTTTATGTCATGCTTGCGCGTGCCCGGCACCTGTCACTGCCGCTGCTCACAGCCGGTGAGCGGGGACATGCACGCTTCACCCCCCCCCTCTACCGCCAGCGTGTAAACATCGGGGGCGCGCGGCCACCCCCCATAGGAAAGGTGTATCTTAGTACACCCGGCGGTGCGCGCTGACGTCATCACGCCCTCTGCTCGTCGATCCTACCATAGCGCGGATCGTCAGCATCAGGTAAGGAGCGGCGATACAATTTTTCTCGCTTTTCTTGCTAATGTGGGGGGGGGCAGTGTTACTCGCTATTCTTACTAATGTGGGGGGGGGGGCTGTTAATATACATTTACTTTTATAGCCCCTCCCAAATTTTACTTGCATTCCTGTTCTCTAAAGGGGTGGTCCTAGGGTTTGATGGGGGCGTGGCCAGGTTTGGGTGGGGGAGTTCCACCACCTTTCCTCTGAAAAAAAAAAAAAGCCCTGGCTATAAACAAAAAAAGACCCAATTCATTTTTGCTAAAAAACTTGACTATTGAAAAAAAAAAAAAAAAAACCAGATTGTCATAAATTTAGGTCAAAATGTATTGTGCTACATGTCTTTGCTAAAAAAAAAAAAAAGTCCCAATACGTGTAAAATTAATCGGTTTACATGATAGTTATAGCGTCTACAAATGGAGGTATATACTGTATACGTGATTTTACATTTCCAGGTAGGGGGCGAACGGTGACAGGGGAGAGGTGTGTGTGTAAACAAGACAGACCTCTCCCCTGTCAGCACGAACAGGCTGCTTTGTGTTGCTCTGCACAGCAGAGCAATACAAAGCAGCTGGTCTCCCTAGTAAAACACACACAGCACATAATGTAAAAAAGACAACACAGCACATAGTTAACCCTTTGATCGCCCCAGATGTTAACCCCTTCCTGTCCAGTGTCATTAGTACAGTGTCAGTGCTTTTTATTAGCACTGATCACTGTATTAGTGTCACTGTGGATGTCAGTGGCAGTTAGCTCCCCCCCAGTGTCAGAATGACTTCCACAGTCCTTCTATAAGCCGCTGATCACCACCATTACTAGTATTAAAAAAAATTCCAGTATACAGTATACCGTACATGATTTTGAGCAGCTCTGCCACCCTATAGCAGTAGTTCTGCTATAGAGCAGCGGGGAAGCAGTTAAAAAAAAATACAGTATGCTGCTGAGAGAAGAACCCTGTGATTTAGGTAAGGGTGGAGTGGTGGAGATAAGAGGTAAAGCCTGGAGGAGACACTAATGATGGGTAGGTATAACATGAAAAATGATCAAAACGGTGGACTTAGCTTTTACATTAAGATATTTCCATGACCTGGAGAAACAACTTTGCTGACTTTATGAAAAGTGTCCTCACTGTAGTTGTGCTTGACACAGCATTCCATTGAATGCAGCTTAGTTTCAGAGGAAGAAGAGCATGCCAAAATATAGTTTTAGGAAATCAGAATTCCAAATGGCAGATGGCCATAAAATATAATGTGTAAGATAAGCTCACAACTACTTTCAAACCTCTTCCAGTTGTCCTATGATATGTTCACCTTTGGTTGTGAGATGTCTCCAGACTTTGACATCTGGCCTGCCCTAACCTGGGTTAAGACAGCTTCAAGGAACGCATGAAGAAATAAGTGGAAATACATATACAGTTACAACAGATGCTCAGCCAGTTCCCTGTGTGGCTTAAAGTGTATTTTCATTTTTGCAGCCAAATTGGAATGACTCTTACTTTATCTTCGTTTCATGTTCTATTTACATAGCATAACTTAAAAAACGTATTTAGAATTGCTGGATACATTTTTTAGTGCTTTTCGTGTTCAAACAATTTTATTTTTTTACATGGAACAGTATAAAATAATAAGCAAAAGTATGGGTCATTGAAGGTATACATTAATTGCACAGTAAGAAACCCAATAATAAAAGTCAGGCATCACTAATAAAGAGGACTATAAAAAGGCAGTTAAGGCCTAACAAAATGGGGGGGGGGGGGGGGGGGGGGGGGGATGGGAAGGGGCATACGGCTGCTGCACAGTAGGGGGAGAAGGGGGAAACCCGCAGTATGGTTAAGGAATGGTACCATCAAACAAAAGATGCAGATTAAGGATTGAGAAGGGAGTCATCAAAATTGGATGGGAGGAAATGCTCTACCCAGGGATTCCAAATCTTCTTGAACTTAGGGATGGAATCTAGGATAGTGGCTTCTATTTTTGCGTGAATCATTGCCTGAGTGACCCTATTCGAATCTTCAGTCATACTCAACGAGGGAGATTTCCATGATTTAGCGATAACCTGCTTGGCTGCGGTGGTGACTTGTATAATAAGTTTGAAGTGCACCTTAGCGATGCCAGGTGGTCGCAGGTTAAGAAGCGCGATTAATGGATCAGGATAGAGGGTTACGGCACTGAGTGTAGATAATATTTTAAAAACCTCCACCCAAGGTTTTCACTTGCTTCATCTAGCTTTCCTCTATGCAATGTTATGAAGGGAGTTGTGGAGTAACATTTATCATAGTTAACCCTGTCTGTACTATGCTGACAGATCTCCATTATCAGCTGTAAACTAGATTTCAACCACTGTCTGCCCTAGCAAAGGGTTAAATACTTGGATTCTACACTGTATGTTAATGAGGGGAAACTGATTATTTCCCTCCTTTGTCCCTCTGATATGGCTCAGAATAGTTTGCAGTACTGTGTATAATCCTGCTCCAAAAGAAACAATGAGAAAGGTAGAATATATCTTTAAAATTGTTTTAGGTATGATGTGTTAATGGGAGCACATAAACATAGTAGGATTTGACAAAAGTGGAAATACACTTTAAAATTGGAAGTAAACTCTATTTTGCATATTTTACCTACAGGTGAGCCTTTAATAAGGCTTACCTGTAGGTACTGTAAATATCTCCTAAACATACATTGTTTAGGAGATATTTACTGTAGAAGCGCTGATGATGTCACCAGCGCATGCACAATGCACTTTCAATGGATGGCATGCCATTCATAGAGCCGTGCCATGGTCGAAATTCCCTTCACACATGCACTGGAGTGATGACTTTGTGGCTTAGCCAATCAGATGGCCGCTGCTCATGAACCCGGGAGGCAGACTTGGTGAAGATGGAAGCCTAGAGAAGCCATGACAGTGCTCCGCTGGAAGGCTTAAGTTTCAGGTAAGTCTTTCATAATGTGCTAGTATGCGCTGCATACTAGTACATTATGCTCTTAACTTACAGTGAGAAGTTTTTTTAGAATTTTTTTTCTGGTTTACTATGCTTTCAGATACCTCAGAAAGTGAGCACTGGAAGCAGGATAGCTTTGAATTTATTTCGTGAACAGACATGCCTGAGAAAGGGTCCCTGCATGTCTTTGAAATGTTACTCTTCTTGATCATACAAAAATAAAGGGCTTTGCACTCTGAAACAAGCTTGTTGGTGTGCTGGCAACATATCTTTTTTTAATGTTGTACACTATTGCTGGGTACACAGTTTTTTTTTTTTGTTCAACCCAGCGGCTGAATTAAAAAAAAAAAAACTGAAGAGCTTGGGAGGAGCTTGCTGTACTAACTGATGTTAGTACAGTGTTCTCCCCGCTGAGCTATTGTGTTCTGACAGGGGGACTGCTTCCCCCTACTAGAACACACTGGTCAGCACTGGCAGCCATTGACTGCCAGTGCTGATTGGATTCCGATCAGATGCTGCTCTTCCAGCAAGCCCTTATGGCTGGCTTCTTTTGGAGAGGCAGGTGTACACAGGCTGAATATAGGCCCCCTTTTTTTAAACCAGCCAATATTCTACCCGTGTGTATGGGGTTAAATTTGTTCTGTTTTCCAGGCTTTCGGGGGCCTGCCTACCTGCCTTGTGATTCTTATATAAGGCGGGAAGGCCAGATACCTGGGGCCGAGCTATCTGCAGAGTGCGACTGTGAAATGCTGGGGCCCTGTTCAATGGAAGGGGACTGCTGGGACTGGCAGTCCATCTGAAGATGCCAGCTTCCCGAGAAATGCCAAGTGATGGACTTTCACAGAATTGTACTTCCTTATGTAGAGGCTATACCTGGGCAGTCACCAAGTAGTACAGTTAGTCATGGGTGGGACTTTGTGAATTGTGTTCCACACTTTAAATATGTGTACTGCAGAAACTCTCAGTAAAGCTGTTAACTGTTTCATGAACCTTGAAGATACTCAAGGGGTGCACGAAGGTAAATGCACACAAATGGACTTGAGTCAGTTAAAGCACATAGGGAAAATGAAGCAAGTACAGTACAAAGGGTTACCTTGGCATCACAGTGGAGAAGAGAGACCAGTTGCCATGGGTAACCAAGAACTGGTGTGGAGTGTTTCCACAGCCTGTCATGAAGCGTGGTACCTGGGTACGGTGAGGTGTCCTCCAGTAAATAGGGAATCGGTAGTCAGGCTCCTTCCCCAGCAGTCGGATTCCCACAGCAACTGAACCCAAACAGGTGTTACAGAGGTCCGCAGCCTAGCCACATGCTATGGACGAGAACATGAAGAGCACACATAAATGTGCTCAGCGGAACCCCATTCTGTCAATGAGAGTGAGGCAGAATAGGTATGCTTAACAGGTGGAGAGGGCATGAGCTCAGCAGAGTCCCTCCTAAATTCAGGTAACAGTAAAGCCCCTTTCACATTAACGTTCCAATCCCAAATCGGGTCAGCCTCTCCGTTTTTCAGGCAGACCCATACGGAACCTCCATTCCCCTCTATGGAGCAGAAGGTGTCATCTGGCTGCTCAGCAGGGGATAAGTGGACAGATCCCCCACTGAGCAAGCAGGTCATTGGTGGAGTCTGTCCCATATGAAAGGGCTTCACAGTAAGGTGTTTTAGTGACATGGGACATGGCACTCCACAGGGGAACTCTGTACAGTTACTTACTATACACCGTGTATGATTCATCTCTAAGTCAGGGGCAGTCTTAAGGTTGATTTCACCTGAGCATGGCCTCCGCTCAGTCCTGGGCATTGGTGAGTGCATGCACACATGAAAATGGCACCCCAAGTACAGGGATAGTGACCCTGCCCACTGCCTGGTGTAGCCCAAGAACCCCATGGGTTTACAGCATGGAACAGTCGGCAAGAACGTGCCTGCTGCATACTGCACACACAGAGCTTAGTTTCACTTTAAAAGCTTGTCTCACAAGCATACATAAAAGATTGCATAACCTGTACTTCAGCAATGCAGGACTTAATTAGTTGGATTTGTAATCACTTAGCAATAGGAAATAATATAATAGTTCCACTGTCATGGAGATACATTTTAGTGTAATATGTTTGCTATAATATCATTTACATCATTAATCAAAAATAGTTCACTGACTTAAACCTCACATCATAGCAAGAAAAATGTCAAGCCCCAGTAATTATACTTGTATGTAATTGACAAAGAAATACAAATGAATATAATATTACAGAGCATGTGCTTCTCTAGTGCTAGGATTTACATTTCGCATTACTCCCAACAGTCCCAGGTTTTGAGGGAATGTCCTAGAATTTTACCAACATACTGGCGTCTTAAGGATCTGGGTTGTGTCCTACTCTCTGCTCTTTAGCCATAAACTGCCTTCTAGAATGGGCATAGCTTGGGGTTTTTTGCTGTCCTGCTGGGTTTTTTTTTCAATCCAAACAACTAAATTAAAAAATTAAAAAAGTGGAACAGTGCTTACAGAATCTTTGAAAACATGAAAGTACAATCAGAATTACATATAGTGATACAACTTGGATGCGCAGATACTGTGACATATAAAAGAACAGAAACATGGACCAAACAGAACAGAAAACATAAGGATCCATTAAACCACCTTGAAAATACATAAAATAAAAAAAAAAACAAGGCCAAAAAACAAGTTATCAGTAATTAGTTCACCTGAGACATCATAAAGAGGACTATGGGTATATGTGAGCACTCCCTGAGGAAGAGATGGGGTTATCTGCCATATAATGAAATGTCACGTTTGCAAGAGCCTATCTACTAACAATTGAGAAGGGGCAAGCCCAGGTACATCTAGCCAGCCCTGCCACACA